GGGCCTGATCACCTGGTTGTCCTGCATGTGCCATGTGACGGCACTCAAGATGATCTGCTCCATAACCTTCCCTTCACTGGTGCCAGACTGACAGGCCTGTAGTTCCCTGGATCCTCCCTACTCACAGGTGTTAAGCCCTTGCCTTTTGCACAGACAGTACCTGTGCCCAGGACTGGGGCACTGGTGCCTAAGCTGTAAGAGTAGAGCCTGCTAGGGTGACTGAGCTCTGCCCCAGGATTACGGCATCCTGCCCATGCCAGGACTACTTCCCAAGCCCTAACATTGCAGCAGGGACTTGCACCCCAGAGGTCCCTTCTGCTGCTAATTATGTTGCATTTGTGGGCCAGGAAGACCCTGGAGGCAGAAGAGCTGTTTATGTGGCGAGACACTGGTTTGGCTCCAAACTGCCCAAGTGAAGCCAGGAGATGTCGGCTCAGTTCCTGCTAACTCACTGGCCCACCACACATTGTGACAAAGGTCTTTGCACAAGTGAGGAGCAGAACCACATGGAACCAAACTAGCGTGGAGATGTGGTGACTGTGCCCCCCAAGTACCATCACTGACAAACCAGCATGGGAGAGCAAGCGGAGCAGCTGCTTGAGACCCCCGATGAGCTGGTTGCACAGCTTGTGACAGGGCATGAATTTACCTTTCAAAAACACCACCAAAACAACCATCCATTCTGCAGAGATAGAAGAGCATCTTGGCTACCACAAACCCCAACAGATGTGGGCCTGTAGACATGCATCCTCACCAGACCTATGCGATTTGAGAATCACTAGCACATGGCCTGGCACACACTGGCTTGTTGGTTTTTGTAGCTGGCTTACTTATTGATCAACGTCTTTAGGGATCGTGTGAGCGTGCTCATGACAGTGGCAACCGTGGCTGACTGGCGGGCGAGCTGCTCCACCGTCTGCTGGTGGCTCAGTGTTCTGGCTGTGGACTCCTCTGCAGCCTTCAGGAGGAAGGTGTAGTTTCTCACCACTTCCTCCACCTTCGTCAGCAGCTCTTGGCGCTGGGACTCTGAGCGTACAATGTACACGAGCCTCACAAACGTCTCAATAAGGCTGCTTAGCACCTGGAAGCTGCTTGTGATGGCGGAGAGCATGTGGGTAGGACTCTTGTCAACGGCTGCTACACGGCGGCAGGATGCCCGAAACTCTTTGAACTTGAGAGCAAGCTCTTGCTTGTACTCTGCCAGCTGGGAGATGTAGGGTTTGCAGTCCTGGATGTCAGGGCTCACCACACACTGCCTCAGGATAGTCAGGAGCTCATTGGTGTCCAGCTGCACTTGCAGAAACCCATTGGGAAAGCTGTAGGCATGGCCTCGAAGGATGTTGATCTTTGCCAAGCTCCCCTCAAAACTGGAGGTCCTTAAATCTATTTCCTGGGTCTGACCATCATTGCTGGAGGCTGTTGCATCTAGGACCTGAAGAGTCCTGCTCATGACTGGGACCATCTGATTGTCCAGCTTCATTCCTGGGAGTATCTGCATGGGGATGGAATAGGACAGCTCATCCTTCTCACTCCCGTCATCTGCAACATCGCATTTCCTGTAGTAGAAGCAGTACCGAATGGAGCAGCACTTCTCATCCTCCATGTCTTCATCCCGCAGCTCTGCAGGACTTGGATACATCTCCTCCTGGTTGAACCCTTCTGGTTCTTTTTCTCCTGTGCTATCTGAACATAGGAGGGGTCAGTCACTCCAGAGGCTTCCTGGAATTTGTTCTTCAGAACAGGACAAAGGATGCTGGGCTCAGGCTCTTTCTGGGGACCTTTTGGCTTGGTTGTATATATGTTCTGGTAGATGTCAGAGGACAGGGATGTCCTATCAGTCTTATCTATTTCACTGACACTGTAGCGACGCAAGAGCTTCCTGTAGTGTGGAGCACCCATGCACTCCCCCCGGGAAGCGCATGTTGTCAAACAGGACATGCTGTTCTCTGGATCTGACCGGTAGTCTCTGGACTCTAAACTTGTGGATCGTATCCGCTTGCCTTTGGAAGGGCTGCTCATGCTTGTCAACCTAATGGCTTCTGCCTGCTTCTGGTCATTGGTAACTTTATCCCTCCCTTGCCTCTCCAGTTCTGGCATCACCAACTGGTTAGGGAGTGGCCTCACCCCTCTGCAAATCCGCTTGCAGTCACAGCTGCGCCTTTGCTCCCTGGACATCCCTGGGACTTTTTGCACAGGACTGCTCCTTAGCTGGCAGCTACAGCGCCCAGGGGCAGGAGGGTGCAGATACTCCTGTGGTGGGAGGTCACCTTTGCTCTTTGGCTTGAGCAGCTCTTCAAGGAATTCCAGCTCATACTGCTTTACCTTCTGCAGCTGGGCCTGCCGCTCGTCTGTCTCCTTCTTCAGCCGGGTTGGAAATGTTGCAGAGAACAAGTTCCTCAACCTGAAGGGAGCTTTTGGAGCTTTGGGTTTAGCTGGGACATCAGCATCTTGGTGGGTCACCTCCAGGACTTTTTCTACTTTTTTGGAAGGCACAGTGCTGATCTGCAGGCTCTCGGATCTGGGCACCAGCTGGATTGGCCCTTTGGGTTCCTCACTGGTGCTCCTGAAAGTGCTACCAGCTGATGGAGAGTGCAGATTGCTACTCTCAGCTTTTAAGCTTTTGGCTGAACTTTCCTGTTGCATTTTCTGTCCTGGGTTTGAAGGAGCTGTGTGTTTCTGAAAGACAAGGCTTGTAGCTTCCCCACCTGCCTTCTGACCTGGCTCTCCGCTTGCAGCTTTTGCTGGAGCATCTCTACTAATTTTTTGCTGGTAGCTTTTAGAACCAAAAGTCTTACAGGGCATCATTTCTTCACCCGCTGAGGCGAGGTGGAAAGCTTCAGCCTTACTGCCATGAGCTTCTTTAGGACTTGGAGAAACTTCACAGTGCTGCTGCGGAGAGAGTTGCTGCTGCTGACAGTTGCATAATGTTTCTGCAGTTTGTGGACCTCCTTTAAGTTTCAAAGGCTTGCTGCTGGCTGAGGCACAGCTGCTGGTGCCATTCATGTTCTTGTCTTCTTTTGAGGATGCTACCACTTGGGGAGCTGAGCCTTTTGCATTTGCCACTTGCTGCAGAGCAGCTGAAATGATGGCTGGAGTTGTGCCACTTTTTTGATCTAGGAGGAGCTTGGAGCTTGGCTGGACATCTTTGGGCATCTTCTCTTGTAGATTCTGTGCCTGCTCCCTGCTTGGGGCTGCTGTAACATGCAGAGATACCTCAAAGGCAGCTTTTGTGTGGCCTGCACCTTTGCATTCAGAGCCAGGCACTGGAGCCCCCCTGTTCTGCTCATAAAGCTGGGGGGTCAGTACTGGCTGCACAGCCATGGTGGAGCTCCGCTCAGCAGGCTGCTGCTCCTGTTTGCTCTTGCAATTGGTAATGTTGGGGCTTTGGTGAGAGAAAGCTGGCTTCAATGAAGGGCTTGGCTCCTGGTGGGTGAGAGGATAGGGTGAGGTGAGAACAGCCTGGGCAGCACAGCTCTGGATTCGGAAAGGCAAGTCCTTTCTGGCCAGGAGGTTTTCTTTGTTGATGTGTTGAGCAAGGAAGTAGGCTGCATTCTGATGCTGCTTCATAGCAGAGACCATCTCTGAGACATCAGTTAGCTCTGAAGAGTTGGTTTCATGGCCAGAATCCAAGGATGACTCAGGAGTGATGGCAGCCAGGACAATAAGACCTGAGGAGGGACACAAAGAAAACTCCATGACAACACTCACACCACACTGCTATGCCGAGGAGAGGGAAACTCCATGCTGCAGGAGCATGCCAGGAATGCAGGACACAGCATCCCATCAGAGAAACTTTAGTGATTTCACGCAATTAAGAGTTGATGCTTTTAAGAGAGATCACTTGTCAGCACTGAGCTGGCTTGCTAGCTCCATCCAACAAGAGCTCTTGGCCCAGGAAAAGGTCCTGGGAAGCTTTCCAGTGTTAGCAATAGCAGAGCTACAGGGAGCTGTCTAGAGCAAGAAGGAAAATCAGGTAAGAGCTACTCTGCCATAGCAAGTAGGGCAACCAATGTGGGGAGAGGGACAAAGGACTGTGCTGCCAGCAGGCTTATCCCAGAGACACCCATCTGACAGCAGGCTTGGCCCTGTGAAGGGCTTACACACTGCAAAACCTGGGTGGGAACGTGCGAAGACTAAGGGCAAAAGGTACCAGCTGAGTGGGGTCACAGAAGAGAGGAACTCATGCTCACAGTGCTGGTTTGTTAGTGCCTCACCCCAGCATCATGCTATGTGGACCATATGGCAGGTATGGGATAACCAAGAGACTCCTTCAGCCACTGTCAGGGAGAGGAGTCCCCCGTCAGCTTCTTAGAAATCTTCTGAGCAGCAACTTGGATGTTCCTGCTAGAGCCTGTTGCTACATCTTAGTTTTTACTGGAAGTTGTTCCACAATCACATATAGGACGGGAAAATGAGACTAAAGGGAAGGATGTACCATAGGAAAGAAAGGCTATAGGGAAAAAAGAAAGCCACAGCCGCTGAAATACCTGCTGTCTGCTGTGGTGGGGGATGTGGACAATCCTCTGAAGCAGCCAAGGCTTCCAGTGCCTGCAGGGTGGACACCAGGGCATCGTCCAGCTCTTGGGCATGGTCTCGGACTGTCCGTGGTTGCACGTTGTCTATCAGTGTGACAGGAATCTCATCATAGAGGATGCCACAGAGGTGCCGGCCTTGCTCCTGGCTCTGGGCAGCTGCACGGCGCTTGGGGTCGTCCTCGTCTGAGCTGTTGTCTCGGAAGCCGGGAGGGGGGGCGGTGATGGCGGGGAGCAGGGACGTCATCTCATCTTCTTCCTCATCGCTCCCAGGAGGGGGAAGCGACATCAAGTCCACCATATTGTCCCAGGCACTGCCAGTCTTGCCCCCCTTGCATGAGGCCAGCCGGCTCTTGATTTTGGCTTGGCAGGACTCACAATAGAAGTGTGAGGCATCGCTCCGCAGGTGGGTGTCGATGGTGTGTGCCCTGGCCCTGCTCACGTGCCTGTCTTTGTTAAGGCCATCTGGGTCGTACTCATTAGCTGTCCCATTGTAGCCTTGGCCAGAGCTTTTGGAAGTGGGGTCAGATTTGGTCCTGGGACGAGTTTCCTCAAAAAAAATCAGGTTTTCATTGATATCCCTCCTGCTCTCTCTTTCCTTCCTCTGCTCTCGCATGTGCAAGTAGCAAAAGCTGATGAGCTCTGAGTCCGATGCCCTGGCAGCTGGAGCCCCGGCTGCTCCGGTGCTGGTGGCAGAGCCACCCACCAACCCGCTCTCTTTCTTTCCTGTGTGCCCCGCCGTGTCTGTCCAGTATAGGTTGTGTGTGTTGATGTAATCTAAACCAAAACCACAACAGGCACATTAGCAGCAGCACCCAGAAGGGAAAACAGCATGAGGAAGCTCCTGCTCACCCTGGAAAAGCATCCATGTGCTCTCTGCCCTACAGCCCTTGGTGTGCTAGACTGCAGTGGGACACGCGTGTTCCCTGTGGCACAGCCAGGCCACCTGGCTGGCCTTTTGAAAAATCATCTTCTGCAAACCATTGGGCCTACCTTCTAGTAATGAGTGTAGGACGAAATGGGGCAGGAATGGGGCATCTACCACCTCTCTGGGCAACCTGTTCCAGTGTTGCACCATCATTGTAAAAATTTCTTCTTTATATCTAGTCTGAATCTACCCCTCTTCTAGTTTAAAACCATTACCCCTTAACCTATTGCTATAGGCCCTATTAGTATGCCTAGGGAGCACAAGCGGCCAGGAGCCCTGCGACCAGAGTGGGCAAATGGCATGGTGTGGCAGTTTGCGCAGCAGTTTGGCAGGAGGGCGCGCAGGGAGGGCACCTCTTCAAAGGAAGGGCATTTCACTGGCCGAGTGGGAGACTTGAAGCATGCA